TGAATACATGGTGTTACCGCAATCTTTACTATAGATCTAGTTTCTTTCACCATGAAAACCTTTAAGTCTTAAAGGTCTGTTTACATAAACTGCAGCACATGTTTAGCCAATCAGAATGCAATATCGTTCTGAAGGTGACCAAGGATACAGCACTGTCACTTCTTGCCTCTTGCCAATTGGTTCTGTCATTTTAGCATGATACATTTAAAACTATAATATATCACTACACAGTTCATGTTGATAGTTAACTTATCAAAGTACCGTACATTTAATGAAGTGAGCCTGTAGCTTCGCTGGCGAGAAATCAACAGCCCATTACGTATGCAAACAACCCCTGAATTGATCGGACATGTGCCGTTGAAAGGTAAAGCTGAAACACAAAAAGAGATAACCGAATGATGTTTAACCTATACACGGGTGCCTGGTACGTTCGAGGTGTCAAAAATTACGATTTAAAACTAGTGCAGCGGTTATTTGACTAGACACTCATAAACCATACGGAAAAGCGCTCAGCAACCTGGAGCCCTTATCACAAATTCTGTTATTTACCCAGGGTTACCCATTCACCTGAAAGCGGTTTCCCATGGGATCCTGCAAACATTGTAGTACAGATCGATGTTGTGCTTGCCAGGAACTTTCCTACTGGAAAAATCTGCGCAGACCTTCTTGGCCTTTTTGTGCCTCACTGGTGGACAGGGCTCCCTTTTTGCATGTTGCGGTATCGCCAGGAAGCTGTCCTATTAATGTAGAATGGGGTCATTTGTGCCCCGTTCTTTCTTGGTGTTGGTCTGTTCTTCCGGGGGGGGGAGTGATTAGGAAGAAGGATAATGTTTCCGGCAGGGTATGATGCCCTACAAAGTGTGAGTCTGGGTTTTGTTGAGGTAGTTTGAAATCAAGCATTGGGTAGACTGGACATGGGAATCATGGTTTGAGTATAGGGTGCCCTTACCTCAAGTTAAAGCATGCCGTCCTAGGATTTCCCTACTGGGAAGGCAGGTTGTCCCTCTCCAAATTCAGGAAAAGTCTCGACAGTTCCCGCTGTTCAGTATCTGGCAACTGGTAGTATTCGCAATGTACCCGCAGATCGTGCCACATGAAGTTGGCTAGAGTTTCGAGTTGATAACTTCATGAAGGAACGACAACATTTAGACTACATCACCATTTGTCGGGAGACTGGTGACTTGGTTGCGTTTTCCTTGGCACAGCGTTCTATGTGCGTGTGTGGACACGAGGTCTCACCAGTTCAATCCACACAACTGGAGAATTTCTTCTGCACGTTCCGCTTTGTGTTTTTGACCAGACTCTAGGGCACTTCCTTTCAAGACAAGTGCACCCTTCTTGACGGAATAATCAATCTTCAGTGCTAGTGATGGAACATCGTACTACAGTCTTTCCTGAAGCCAGCAATATCATGTGTTAGGATCGTCCCAGACGCGAAATACGCATTTTTTATTTTATTGTATTCAGCGAAACACCCCTGACAACGTAAATGGTTTCTCTCCCGACACGATCGACTTAACTAAACAATGACTTTCGTTCCAATTTCGCGCGCTCGGGTATTGTAGCCACTAGTATTTTCTCCAAACGCGATCGGGCGTGAATGCTGTGATCAAGAGACGCGTTTTTTCGCGCATTGTAACAACCTTTCAGCCATGGTTATTGTTGAAACGCTGTTGCGTTTTTTGTTCGTGTTGAAGTCCAGATGTACAGCCGTGATTCCCGTTGTCCGTACATACTAAAAGCTTTTCCGATTAGTAAAATTTAAGGTGGTGAGAGAAGAGTGTGACGCAGTACGATTTCGATCGCCCGACGAAAAACATCTTGAGTGTGTGAGCTGAGTGACAGCGTATGGTACCAACTAACCATCTTGAGACCCCTGATGCAGCAGGTGGAGATCGGCCGGTAAATATCGGTTCCGGTTTGATCGGGTCGAAATTGGCAAAATCAGAGCCAATCGATCCTAATTATATTGATCCCGATTTTCTTGCAACGCTCAGCCAGTGTCCATTAATTTGTGTCTTAATAAACACTTTAGATGTTGAAGATGAATGAAGTTGATTTGAGATATACCAAATTATTGTGTTCATGAAAGTTGACCATATTGGCCTTTAAGAAGGAAATGTTAAATATGTAGAAAGTCAGTGTTGTTTGAGAATGAAATGTAGATCGATGCCCTATCAAAGTCACTGCTTGTATTTTGTCGAAAAGTGACAAGAAATCAATGTTGAAGACGTCAGAAGTATTAATTTATCATATGTTAAAATTGTTGGTTGTATTTTTATTACGTTGGCCCTAGAGCTTGTATGTATTTTGCTTAAAATTGTTTGTTCCGATATAGATGGCTGTACCTCTTGTGTTTGAGGCTTTCCTCTCGCAATAGCTAGCGGCTTTCACACGGGAACAACTCTTCGTCCGAACAAGGCAACCAAGGACCTATTTGTCGAGACGTTGTCCAATGAAGGCTAACCTTAATGTACGACCTTTGCACGCCACACGCGAGGGAGTAACCTGCGCTTATTTAACATAATAATTAATCTTTTCGGATAGAACAAGCCCGTGTTTTTGGTAATCTTCTTTTTATGCTGTTCAAAATTAGTTTGGGAACATACAGGCGAAGTTTGACTTGAGGGGAGATCTGACTCTGAATCTAAGAGATTGTTAACTGACTCGAGATCTCTGGTGTTTGGTTTTTTCTCTTGTAAATTGTGTAAATACTATTTTGAGTGTAAATATAAGTGTTTCCATATACTTTTATTTCCCTGGTCCTTAATTTGGTGGTTTCTTATTTTAATATAGTTGCGAACCTGGGATCATCACTGGAATAGATAGTCTGGAAATAAAATCTTGTGTACAGTGATGACATCATGCATA